AGAAATTGATATTTATTGGTTGAATGCCTCTAATAGTTTTCTAAAAATGAGCTTAATGCCCCCCCATGAAATTTGTTTTTGCATTCGCTACATGTTATTAAAATACATACATAAAACTATGACTTAGAGGTAGAATCTGCATATACATACACAAGGAAGATTACAAATACAAAAGAAAAGTTTCATTATCAACTAGTATAACATGTAATTCAATATGTAAATATCACAACTAAACAGAGCCATCACATATTTCAACCTTCTAGAAAGGCAAAATATTTTGTGTTCTTTTTTAAAAAAAATTATGATTTCCATTCTATTCTGTAATATTTTTTGGGGGCACATTCTCATTCGCATTTTTCTTTTGTTTTTACACACTATTATAAAAAAATCAAATTACGGACTAACGTAAGCCGCAAAGAGTGGACTCACTAAACGGTGTCGTTTTAACATCGCATGAATAGACAGAACACGCTAAGTCAATCCAAAGGTTAAGCATTCTTTCGCGCTCAAATCCCCAAATCCCCAATCTTCTTCTTCTTCGTTGAAATTAGTTTTCCAAAAACCCTAATTTCTGAATCGAAGTGGATTCCTGATCGATTCGAAGGTGTTATTGCTTCTGGATCGAATGATAGGTACCCAGTGAATTCGTAAACATTTCAATGGGTGGTACAGACGCAAAAGACATCCTCGGGTTACCGAAGACTCCACTGTCTTTAACTCAAGAGAAGAAATCTCGACCCCAGAAAGAGTCTCATAGAAAACCCGATGGCATTTCTCGCGAGGTGGGTTTTCGAATCGAATCGTTAACAATCCTTGGAATCGATTGATTTTAGCGTTTAAAGTTTCGATTTTTCGTTGTTGAAATTGCAGGTTTATGCGCTTACTGGTGGTGTTGCACCTCTTATGCCTTCAATTGATGTTACCCAGTTAAAGCGTCGTCCTCTAGCAGATGAGAAGGTTTTGAATTTAAGGGCTTTAAGACTTATATATCTTCTTCGTGTGAGTATGATGATAGTGTTTTAATATGGTAAGAGCCCTTTGTTACAGGTTGCTTGGAAATGGCTTCCCTTTACAAATTCTGCTAGGAAAGATGATTTGCAGCTTTATCATTGGGTAAGTTCTTTATCTGGAACTTTATTGCAGAAAAAGCTTGAGCATTTCGTTCTTTCTAATGCCATGTTTTTACAGGTTAGAGTGGTAAATGATGTTCCACCAACAGGTGACTATACCTTTGCCAAGTATAACAAG